TTCACTCTAAGTATCTGTTCTTGAGACATCAAAGTGAGGAGTTCACATGCAATAAACAAAGTCAAAACAGAGATTGTATATAAATGAATGAATATGAGCAAACAGCAAAACCTGAAACTGATGCAATTTCTTCTCTAAAGAACCACTACCTAAAACTCCGCTGCTGTATCAACTGCTCTTAGTTTTCATACAGTTTACTCAATTTTTAAAAGAGTTTTCTCCTCTTTTCCCTCAAAACCCTTTCAGAAACCACTTCCCACACTTTGCCTTTTGTAATTCATCTCTACTCAGCAGCCATCTGCTCCTTTCCTCACACACACATGCTGTACATGCTCCAAAACAAACACAATGCAGAATCAAACTGCGTGATCGGACTTTTTTGTTAGGACTGCTCAAGCGGGAGCAGCTCCCACCCATCCCATCCCCTCCCTCCCACTTCCTGCCTCCTCTCTTCCCCCTTTGACTGGGGTCTGCTGGGAAGCAGCATGTGCTAGCTTCCAAGGGCACAAGCACACCAGCTTCTCATCGTGCACTGAAGCACAGTAAGAGCAGAACAAATTCAGGAAGGTCACAACATTTTGCACATTCACCACGACTGAGAACAGTGCTCACCTTCTGGAGGAAGACCCTTCTGCTCCCCACATATCCCATACCCACCACGCTCTGCAACAGAGCTTTGAGCCATCAGCACAACCAYTTGCAGATTGGGACTGCAAAGGAAACCCCCCAAAGGTCCTAGTGACAAACACCTCCAGCTTTTACCCATACACCTGAAGGCCTTAGCAAGGCTAGTAAGCATCTTTCACAGACGAGAGTCAGGGTAGCACAAGAACCCAAAGGATTGCCCAGTACCTTCTAGCAGGGTGGTAAGACAAAAACAAATACCARATTACAGACCTGGTTTAATTCAGGCCTGGCTGCACTCTGTGWGCTTCTTGACAGTTTCCCAAGTATCACACCAAAGGTGAGTTAAGTCGTGGTCTTGCCAGGAACATGGGCAACAGAAGAAAGCCTTCAAACTGGAGAAGGGCAGGAAGAGTGGAAAGTGTAAGTTTTGCTGAGAAATGCTTTGTGATCCATTGAAAAACACACCAAGTAAAAGCCAAGATTTGAATTGTCTGGAAAGGACTTTACAATTCCCACTCTGAACCTATGCCTATAAGCAGTACAGCAAAAGACACGTTCTGCTTCTCACAGAAGAGACAAAGAAYACTCAGACAAAAATCCTTCCATACTTAGCCAGTTTCTATACAAAGCAAATTTAATAAAGGAAAAATGCCAGGCCCAGTGTTAAAATATTACATAGCTACACATAAACATGCAAATCACAGTACAATAAAAACAAGGGGTAAAATTCTCAAAGATTTAGAGCCTGGCTGCTTAATGAATGACTTGGTTTAATGGGCAAGCAAAACCAAACACACACACACACACACCACACAGAGCCTTACAAAGCATGAGTATTTGGACCAAATTCAGCCACTCAGAGACCTCATTCACAGCTCAAAGTCCAAAAAGTGAATGGAAAAGGTCACAAAGTATTTCTGTACCTTAAAATCAGCTCTCAAAGTGTCATTCTAGATTCAACAACATAAAGCATGCACCTTTAGTTTGGGATACTGATCCATGACACAAACTCTTGCTTGTTTTTTGCAGTCTTGCATTACTTTTTTTACCCTTTTTTTCTGCTTTTCCAGTAAGACATGACTTATTTGAACCAATAGGCCATAATGCCTTTCCTGCTACAGGATGCAAGAGGTCATTACAAAGGCAGAAGAACTATATGAAGAAGCATCACAATGTACTTCTCACCATAATTTCCTCCAGACAAATTAGGCAGTCAGTATCTTCAAGGTGACAGCTTTGAGAAGTACCTGGAGATGTCAGGGATGATCAAMGCATCTCTGCTGAGCATGTAGCAGCCTGCAATACTACAGAGCACTTAGAAAACAAGAGAAGTGAGCAGAAGGGAATTTCAGCTGATCAAGTGGAATCAGCTGGTTTAAATCTGACTAGAACATTGATCTGTTTCTGTGAGAAATGCTGTGTGATCTTTGATGACAACTCAGTATCAATTCCCAGGCTGAGACTATTAAGAAACAGCRCTGTCCACAAAAATGACTTGCCCCAACATCTCATGATGTCTCATTCAAACATTGATCCCACCCATCCCTGATCCGCTTATGAGATCTGCAGAGATCACAGCATGGGAGGCCACAGTGCACATTTTTAGAAGAGCAGTGAAAAACTGTTGTTCAGGGGGCTTCACTCACTGCAGTAACAYCTAACAGCTGGGATAGGCATCAGTCTGCTTCAGATAGGAAGGCACAAAGCCCTCAAAGAGACAATGCTACAACAAAATAAACCCAGGACAACACCTCAACCACATGTCATTCCTCATTTCCCATCCAAATCCTGAGAGCTGTTTGCTTTCACATGCATTAGGAAACATTGCTGCCAGCATACTGCCCACCAAAAAGGGGCAAGGGGGGTTGTAGCTTCTCATACACAATACAGTGACTCTGCCTTAAATCAGGTAAGTATGAAGCTATTCCTAGTGAAGGGTAAGAAGCTAATGATGGTTATTAATAGCCTTTAAAGCTATCAGTTCATCTGAGTTAAATGCAAGAGTAWTAATCCCTTTATGACCTTCCTCATTTTTAATGGAAAAACGGACAAAGTTTCATGAAATACTGCTGTTAATCTCAGATTTCAACTATTTTAAATGTTGAAAATTACAACAACCTGAATCTAGCAGGCTTTGTTATATATACATATCACTGAGGACTTAGACCAGAAATAGTAGGCAGAAGCCTTTCCTCTTAACACTTCCTCAAATTCAACAGGATTTTTGTCACAGACTTCCACAGGTATTGAATCTACAATTTAATCTGCTGTGAGGCATGCCTAGGTATTAYATATCACTCAATTAGGTAATATACATCACTCAGTTTGAGGAACTGGATTGTGATGATAAGGGTGGTAAGGATTTCTTGCTGTTCTTCACTTAGTCACAAATCATTAGCCCAGAAAACTTGCACTTTTAACAAGGAAAACTAGAAAAAACAATACTTAACCTGAAATACAAGAGCTACATCWTGATCAGAAGCATAGAAGAGAAGAAATAGTAAGACACTTGTACTGTTCAGACTGAGAATWTTTCCTCTGCAGCTCTACTACAAATGTGGATAACTAACCACATCTATAATCACACAAGATAACAGAGCAGAATATAAAGCATGTTCTGGGAAACAGGGAAAACACTGACTTTTCAGAGACAGGTGGAAGCTCTCTCTCTAGGCATATTGGTCCTTCATTTTCTGCTGCTGTGCTTCTTGAGCCTTTCCTTCAAAGGACTTCTTACCATGCAGGATGTAGGTACAGACAAGCCACAAGTCTAGCTTGAAATAGCGAAAAATGAAAGCAAGACAAAATTTCGTCTTTTAGATGACACTCTACCTTTATTCACCGTGGCTTTAGCCACATCCTGTTAATAAACAGGGGAGATATGTACATGAGTCTGTACAATCTGTAAAATGCACACCTGAAAATGCACTTGGTCTAAGAAGCTTGGTACCACAAACCTACAYATTTATCTGTGAAGTAGTACTGTTGTTTTGATTGTGGTTTGTGGTTTGATTTTGTTCAGTTTGTTAAGTGCCTTTGTACAGCTCAAAACATTTTAAGTGCACAGTGCACACATTTGTCTGAGTTGTTTACTGTTYCTGCACAGAAAAAGTAAGGAATTCACTATTCTTACACAACAAAGGTAAGGTAAGAAAATCATGGCCCTTGAATCAAACTGTGAAACGTTGTACCAAAAGCAACAGTGTGYCAGCCTAATTAATTATTGGTTTAAGAATCTGAAAGGCTAGAATCCATTTTAAGATGTTCCTAAGGAGAAGACTCAAAAAAGCCAGTATTAGGACAGTTTATTTCTACTAATGACTTCAGTAGTTGCAATCTGGACTGCTGTCAGATGAGATGGGAGTCAGGGCAAATCCCAACACATCAGAAACAATTCTTCTACCCTACTCAAAGTTAATCTTGGTGAATCCTTTTCTGTACCATGACMGTGCCTTTTTAGTCCCTTATACAGAAGCTACGCCCTATCTGTAATGAGCATCACTCATTCTCATCAGAATTAATCACTGCTGAGCAGTCTGCACAGGAAGTCCTGCAATTGTACCATAATGTGGATGTTCTCTTGACTTCACTTGATGTTAAAGCTAAAAAACCACAAGGAGGTTTCTGTGGAACTGACAGCTAATAGAACATCAATGCAGTACAGTGTACACTAAAGCAAGATGCACATTAAGGTCTTTGGGCTGGATCAGAGACAGTCCAGGAATTAATATGGTTGACATGGGGAGCGTGCACATAATACGTAAACTGTCCAGTAGAGTATTGATTGGGTTTTACTGGACTAATAATCATKAGATACCTCAAATATTTTTGCGTTAGTACCACAAGAAGACCTGAGATTGATTCCACTCACACACATGCTCCCAAATTAAGAACACAAAACATATTCCAAAAAACATGGGTGCATATAGCCTTTCTTGTGATAATCTAGGCACTACAAAATACAACACAACTACATGCTATCAAGAGCAAASGACAACAGGATGCCTGGCTACATGCAGGGCTCACTTTCCATGTAATTTTGCTTTAAATACACCTATAACAGCCTCTACAATAATGGCACTGGAGCCATCATCCAAATCCCTATCTACCTTGAATTCTTGTGCAAAATAGATGGCTGTAGATTGCATTTTGCAGAAATTACTCAACAACAATCTAGAATTTTGCAGCCAGCTGCTTTAAAATAGCAAACACAAGAATAAAGAGATAATTTGGTAGCATCATCTTCACTAAAAGCAGCAGTAATGCAAGGAATTGGGGCTTTGGAACACAATCAAGTCTGATTTGGTAATTGCCATCATTTCATACTTGGATAACTTCTCATGAAAATCAAGCACATRTGACAGTACCTGTTCCTCTTTTTCTTTGGTCTTGCTCCTGGAGACTCTGGAAGAGGTAACATCCTGAGCTGGAATGACAGAGATTTGATGCAGTGGCATGTTCATCACACCGCCTTGTTTGGTCCTATCATTTACAGGAAGGAGGCTTGAAGGGAGGGCTCATTCCGTGCCATTGTAAGGCCTTGCAACTGAAAAATAAAAATATTAGATGATGTTAAAGCAGCCTGAAATGCAATTATTTCTAAACCAAAGCTAAGCCATCCACTGGACCAAGATGCATCTCTTATTTTCTCTGGATTTTGGTGCACTGTCTGGGTGTGAAAAGACACAGAAATTTTGAAGAATTTTAACTAGACAGGTCAGAGCACAATTGTTGAAAAATGAATAAATTATCAACCAGTTCTGAAAACACTCTGAGAGCAGAGCTAAAGGGCAGGGATCATGCTCGACTCTGCCTGGATAGGGAGAAGGAGGAAGAGCAGTTCTCCAAGCTGAGCATGTTACCTGGAGATACAGAGAGCAAAGCTCATCCAGATAAGTTTCCTAAACTGCCAGCCCCACCATACTAGATCAAATTGCCTCAGGAATCATCCTAAAATTAAATGAATGCTGTAGCTTTGGATAAAAACAGGCAATACCCTGCATTTGGCTCTTGTCATTCATATAAACATGTACCACTGCTGGWTCAAAGATGTATCACATGAGCTCTTCTTTTCCTAAGACTATTAAAGATTAATATCATCAAAACCCCTCACTAAGGATTGAGAATTCACTGGATTGTCTAAACACACTTTATCTTTCTTTTACTAATGTAACAGGGAAAAGTTACACAGGAAAGATAGTGATAGACATAAATTAGCYAAAACTGGCAATGCTAATCTTAAAGACAAGTATAATTAACCAACCTTTCATTAACTAGTGAAGTTATGGTAAATAGAAAGCTTTTTGAAACATGTTGTATCATGGAGTGTTATTCTGGAATGTAACTTGCCACAAATGAGACACAATCAAATGTGTTTAAAGAACGGATTAAAAGGGAATTAACACAGCAGGGACTATATCAAACAGGGCAACAGAATGATACACTGTTCTCCCCTTTCTATCACATACCAACWTTTTGTTTGGCTGGTATTGACTCGTGAAAGCAGAAAACATAGATTTGATAAATTTCCTATGTATCATGTTGTTTAACAGCTTGGAAGTAGTATAGCTTAGCACTTACTGCACATCCTTAACTTACACTGCACACATTTTTTTATTTAACATTTAATTGGAGGTTTTGAGGACAGAACCAGACCATTCAGCATCTTTCGTGGAATCAAAAACCTAGAAAGCTTGCCCTATTTCCACTAGACTCCACAGGAAAACTGCAGTTGTGTAAAATGAAAAAAAAGATCAACAATTTTGACTGTATTTGATTAAACAATAGGAAAAAAAATTACATGTTCCAAGACACTTTATACAGAGAATGATAGTTCACTATCCTCTTTGCACTGAGGGGGAAAGAATTATCAAAGATCATAGAGCAAATCATGAACAAAACCAAGAATGCATGCAATGCCTGCTGCATCCCAATCACACACTCCATTTGCTGTGTGATGCTATTTGCCCATTCGAGCGCTCAGCCAAATTCAAGAGCTTTTCTGACACGTGGTCAGGATTTATATCACTTCCATAGACGCCAAGACAGTGCATCAGAAAGCACACATGAGAGCTTTAAAGGCAACACYTCTGTAACTTTCAGGCATCACTTACTTTAAAAGTAAAATATATCCGTATGCATAAATAAGCAACAAAGACATTTCCTTACTGAAGAACAAAGAGAAACATGGGATTTACCAGCATTATTGAATCTCACCATAAAGAGAACCACCTCAGGTCCTCCACACACCTGCTTAGTTACATTGTCTAAAGGAGCCAAGCCAGAGGGAATATAAACGTGGGCTGAGATGGGAATATCAAACCACAATAAACAAGGCAGGAAGGGAAGGTATTTTCTCAAGGAAACACAGATAAATGAAATCCAGAGAACGTTAAGCTTCAATGAAAATATGCCAGGTAATATGTGCTGTGCTATTGCCAGTGATAACTGAGAATAAGAGAAGGAGTTTGACCCTGGTGTGCATCCCCCTGCTCAAAAAGGTTTCTGAGCTTGCAGGCAAGGACACATTATGATTGTAAAGAGAACAAGGAAAATTATTAGAAAACACAGTTAACCCTCTCTGATGATGGCAAACAAGTCAAACCAGTTTTTCTGCAGGTACTTCGAGGACAGCATGTGTTAGAATTCTTTGAAAGAGCTCAAACAGCAGATATAATCCAACTTTGTATTCAAAGATKATGTGAAACAGCCGTCCTCTGGTAAAGAAGCCTGGCAGACGCTCTAATAAAGCCTGCCTTTGTTCAAGGGTGGCTTAGAGAAAGCTGTAAACTAAACCCAGATGCCACCCTGTTGCATCCCCAATCTGCTGGGCCACTAATAATGCACACACTCAAAGTCTGCCTGTTTCAACCTAAAGCACGTTAACTCCACAGTGCTAATTAAAGGATAAAGTTACGTGAATGAACAGACCATCTGCAGTACTGTGTACAGACATGGATGCCAGAAAACCAGTGCCACTCAAAGCCAACACAAAGCAAGTTATGATAAGCTCCACAGGACATTCCACAACTAAATTAATTCCACATTCTACCTGATTCAAAGGTGAGGTGTTGGGCACCTGCAAAGTGGGATCCAAACTTGAAGCACATCAAACTGGGGGGCTGCCAAAAAGGAAGAAATGCTAAGGCAAAGGGACTGCTCCTGGATAGCCCCTTCTTTTCAGGATCCCAATCTGATGTTCAGGCCATACCTCACACAAAATGAGAATTCTTCATTACTACAGCATGTCCMTCCAACAGCAGAGTACACTTGCCCAAGGGGTGGCAGATAAGGGATCAGCTTCTTCCTCMACTGTGTTTTATTTGGTTTATAACTTCCTGCAAAGCTGGCTGGGGCACATGAGAATGCAAAGATAGAGGACAACATGAAGGTCAACTGYACCCCTTATCTGTAGCCACACTAGKTCCTAAAAGATGGACTCCAGCTATTCTGCCATTGCCCCCAGCAGTGATGGTGAGCAGCATCACGTATGCCAGTGCTCTGACAATCTGTTGCAGGGTGGGCGGGTTAAAAATAAAGCAACAGATCGCTGATGTCCAGATAATCCAGCCACTGAAGTACCATCCACTGCTGTAACAATCGTGCCATGAAAAGGATCAGCCCGAACACTGCACTGGGCCTCCCAGATGCAGGCTGAAAAGTCTGCTCTGAGACTCTGTGGATTGCTGCCATGCAATCCACAGTCCTCTGAAACTTCCCCTCTATGCAGTGCAAAACCTGACCAACCCAAACAGGAAGGGAAACACCCTGAAAAAATTTGATTGCTGCTAGATGTTGTAACATCTTCATCAGCTGGCTTACTTCTCCGAATAAGACTTGAAATTATTTATTAATTCAAATTTGGAATATTTTTCTGYTGGAGGTTCTTGATGTGAACTCTCAAAGCCCCATTAAAAAAACCTTTGGTTTTGGGTTTTTATTGTTGTTCTGAAGGTAACAGAAGCCCTCATCCAGTGACTTTAGCAAATTCATGTGTGCATCTTAACTTTTCCAAGCTATTTTGACATTTCAGATGGATATAGCTTATGCCTGCTTTCTGTACACTACATTTTCCATATTTGTAAATATTTCCAATCCTATTAGCCTGTGTTGGCTCCAGTTTGAAGCTTTTATTTATTTCATTTTGAGCTTGTTCGGACTCTTACTAATGTATCTTATGTAATCCTCTTCTAAAGATGACAGATGTGCATTTTCAAAAAGAGGATCCTGCATCTGCGTTTGATTTTCGTTTACTGTAGCTTAATCAGTACTTTGTTAACAGCATTATTTAAGAGATGTTATCAAGCCTCATGCTCTTCACATRCATTTGTTAACTTGACAAACAAATCTAATCAAAAGAGGTTAAGGGAGAGGAACTAACACTTCCCTTCCTGCAGTACCTTTCACATTTCACTTCYAATGTTTACTAACCCTGAAAAGAACTCTTGTATTCAGACCAGGCATATATAACTCTGGAATATTGCTATTTACAGCTATGAGTCTGCTTATATATCTTGCACTGTATACTAGCTTAGCTCTGYAACTTCTCCCTTTATTATCTCAGTTCCTCCTTTTCTCCACCTGCTAGTGTCCCAAAACCAATCAGCTTCAAGACTTAAAATGCAAATGTATTTTTAAACCATGTTATTGAATAGCTGAAAYCAAAACAAAGGCTTAGAAAGGGGCAAGAGATTCTTCTGCAAGTTCCCCATATACCCTTTTTGCAAGCTTCTCTATATACAGGAATTATACAGGTACAGATTACACATAATAYGCAGAGAAACAGATGTATCTGCCAGCTCTGGCTGACTCCTCTCAAAATAAGAATACAATTACTTTTACAAATATAATACAACTAGACAAGCAAGCAGTTAAACTACAGTCTCAGTAAATAATAGACCCAGAGCTCTTAGCCAAACCCTTCCCTTGATTTCAATGGAAGCTGACCAGAACATGGACCTCTGAAAAACAGGTTCCTTAAAAACTGTTCCCTTCAAATCAAATCAGCTGATAAATGCAATTATCAAATAGCTTGCTAGCATTCAGGAAAACAAAGGTCACTCTCCTCTGTTACAATAACACAACAGTACAGTCATTACAATCCCCTGAGAAACAAAGAAATTACTTTTTTCTGCTTTTGCTGCTAATAGCAATTTACCTGCATCAGAAGCATCACTGATGATTCCTGATGTCCTGTGGAAAAAAAGCACCAGGTGCTCCACACACCCCAACTCACTCGCAAAAGCCACAAAACTATGACATGCCACAGAAAGGCAGCAAGTAACGTCAAGGAGAAGGTGACACCCCAGACCMCCAGAATAACTGCACATCTACTGGGACAGAAAGCCTACATGATCATTATGATTTGGCAAAGTGCTCCATGTAACATTTTTTTTTTTTATGTAATGAAGATTACAATTCAATGGAAAAAGAGACGCACTAATACATGTATAGACCAGACAGAGAAATTTGCACCAACATGCATTTGCAGGTAAATGTCYAGTCTAGTACACAAGTCCACATGATACAATGTAACACCTATAGATA